CCTCCTCCTCCTCCTCCTCCTCCTCCTCTGGGGGGCTTCCAAAACCTCTCGACACCTTCCCACTTCCCTACATAGGACTGGTTGTCCACCCCGAAAACTTAATAGTTTTGACAGGCCCGAAACCCGAAAGCGGCCTCTGGAAGGCGAATGTACCCCAACAGCCCGACTCGAGTATCGGCGTTGGATGCGTGGGCTGCCGCATGCGGAAGAGGGTCCTGGAGGAAAGGGGCCGTGGAGAGGTTCGCCGCCCTGGGGCTCCCAGGGCCCTTCCATGGCCCCAGGACCTATCAGAACGACTCTGGCTGAAAGCTTGTCCCACGGGAAAGCCCAACGGTCCAGAACCCGTTTCATCCAGGACCCCGCGCGCCTACCCAGACATCCGATGAGGAGCTTTCTCGAGAAGCGGCCCCCGAGCTCCCGACCGTTTCCTGGAGGAATGGTGTTCCGCCTGGAGCCGTCTTTATGGCCCAGGGGCCCGAAGACAGTCCCCCGGGAACGGAATTTGGGGAACACGTCGGCACTGGAAACAATAATACCCTAGCAAAGCACCCTCATAGCCTCAGAGGTGAAGAGGCGGGTCGACGAGTAGGAGGTCGGCTATATGGGGACAAGGGTGACCATTCGTCTCTGGAGCCCGCGCGGAAGGCCGGGAAAGCCTGGAACTCTTGAGATCAATCCATATCCATACCTCATGCCCCTCTGAGAGCAGGAGGTCGGCTATAGGGGACCATGGTGGGTACACGACCGCCCGAACCAAACATGTGGCCGACACTTCGGCGAGAGCCCATGTTCCTGCACCAGCTGCGAGGAGGCCTCGGCCGAGACGGCGGCCATCCCCCGGCGGCCTGGCTCCCCCCCCCGGCGGCTCTTCTGTCGTGGTGACTCGCTGGGAGCCTCCCATTGGCGTTCTGCTGGCAGACGCTGCGGTCAACCCGTACAGTAAGGGTGCGCAATGAGGATGCAGGGACCTCGGAGGCCCGCTCGCCATCGCTCGGACGTTCATTCCCCGTGCAATGTTCGGCTTCGTGCGTGTCTGTTTCGCGTGATGGCCCAAGGTGCTCTTCGATACCCCTCGCCGAGGAAAAATGCACACGTCCGAGCGATGCCGAGCCCATTTCGAAGCTGTTCGAGCGGGCCGCGGCCAGCGAAAGCGGCCGAGAATGGGCCGAGAGCGCAAGGATGCAAGGGTAACCTTGGAACGGTTGCCCATCCTTACTATGCGGGTTGACTGTAATCGACGCGAGTCGACGGCAATCGGCACCAACCAGATGCTGCTCGACGCTGAATCGGAGCTATCTCACAGACTACCAAGCGCAACTCGACGCCCATCGGCGCGCAAGGCGGCAGGAAGACGGTATGCAAGGCTCCATGACCTGTTCTGCCGAACTCTGCTGCGGTCCTGGCGCGCCACTGCCAGAACCCTCCAACGAAGCGCTGTCTGCCAGTCGTCGTGAGAGGGGGAGGGGGCGGCGCGAGCCTGCTGGAGGCGGTCCCAGTCCCGCCTCAGTTCCTCCAGCTCGGCGCAGGCCGCGTCCCTCTCCTGGGGGAGGGGAGGGGGGGAGGACTGGCAGAGAGGGGGAGGAGGCAGGAGGAGGTAGGAGGGCAGGGGCAGGGGGAGGGGGAGGGGGAAGAGGAGGAGGAGGAGGAGGAGGAGGAGGAGGAGGAGGATTGTTTAACATCAACATGCCAAGACGCATACTTGGGTGGTCGGCGCCACCACCCAAGCTCGCTGCACCACAAGCGTCAGCGGGGGGCCAGCGCAGGACCTGACCAGAACAGAACTGGACCCCCCGACCGCGCAGTGCACCCCGTAGATCGCGAAGTACAACCTCGAGGAGATTACCTCCAGGACCACGGCGCGGAGGAGCAGCGGCGGCAGCACCTCCGCCAGGAAGGAGAACGGGCCTACCCAGCCCAGGACGTCGGAGGATCACTCGACGCCGCCGTCCGCAGCCGACAGCTCTCATTGAGGTCGTCCGACGCCGCTGAGCGTGCGTCCCCCCCTTCGAGCAAGCGCCGTGCTCGCTCGCGCACGTCGAGCTCCCTGAGGTCGCCGCGCGGCCCGATCTAGACCGCCGAGGCCGTGAT